TTATACCAATTCTAAATATAACAAATTACAAAATCATTATTATAGATGATCTAAATAGTACTTCAAACCCCAGAGTAAACAGATTACTAACAAAAAAATATAACTCTCTAGAAAATCAACTACTCAAAATACTCAAATATTACAACTTTTATGATACCTTCTGACTATTCCACCCTACTTCTATTAAATTTACATATACTCATAATAATAGTGCTAGTCAAATTGACCAAATTTGAACTATATAACTCTTCTGGACTATGTAGACATTATACAAAATCAATTTACTACTTCTGATCATTCTATTATTAGCCTTGAAACAACAATCATCACTAACAAACTGACTAATACAGAAATTTATACAAGACTTTCTTTCAAATAAAACTTGGTCTAAACAAATCAAATTGAACAATATCAACATTACACAGAACAAAACCTTATATGCTTATTAACTCCTATTAAAGAAATCACAAATACTAATGATCTAAATACTATTTAGAATTAAATAAAAAAGGTAATCAACAAAGCTACTTTAAAATTTATTCTATATAAAAAAATCAAAACCAACCCAAACCTAGAAGGCTACCAAAAACCAACCTAACATCTTTTTACAACCAACTCAAAAATATTATTTCTATTAAACATCTTGCAACAAATATAGATATTTCCATATCATATAATTCTTATATTAAAAAATATTCAAAAAATACCCTTCTCCCATGATCATACTAAAACTTCTTAGCAGCAAATCCAAATCCCAACACAATTCTAATACTTCTCAAAAGTGAAATCAACAACCTTAAAATACTTATACAAAAAGAAAAAAAAGACCAAACTTTACTTGAAATCCAAAATAAATTACAAAAAAGAACAACAATTTTACTCAAAACTCTAAACTTTTCTTCTATAAAACTCTTGAAAAACCAAATAATAGTATCAAATTAAACTAACTTCTCTCAAATAACAACTTAACTACATAACTAACTGAGATCAAATCAGTTCTTAACAACTACTTTTAAGATTACTTTAAAAAACTTCCATATACCTCTATAGATACTAACTCTCCTTTCTTCAATCTCTATAAACTACATCTAGAAAATAAACACCTCTTTCAAAATCTTTTTTCAAAGATTACATCTGATAAATAGTCAAAAATAATAAAAGAACTCCCAAACAACAAAGCTACAGGTCTATCTGAAACTAATTATAAACATATCAAAATGCTTAATTCCAAAAGTCAAAATATTATTTGCCTTTTTCTCTTAAAATATCTCTCTCTTTAAAGCATACCATTAGAATGGAAAACTTCAAATCTCTTCCTCATTCTAAAAAAATCCTCTTGAGACTTTATACTAGATCAAGTTTGTCCAATCTCTCTTATTGAACTAATCAAAAAATGCTTAACAAAAGTATTTATAACTCACTTAGACCAAATTATAAATTAATATCACTTTCTAAGTGATCTAAACTTTGCAGTAACTAAAAACTGCTCAATACACATACCAATATAAATATTACTAAACACTATTGAATACTATAAAAATAACAACAAAGAAGCATAGATACTATTCTAAGACATATCTAAAGCCTTTGACAAAATCAATATAAATCATCTCATCAATGTTTGCAAAAGAATTAGCATTCCTCAGAAAGCACTAAACTTCTTAAAATTCTTATACCAAGATAGAAAAGCCAAAACAATTACTGCCTATGGACTCACAAACCCTATCTCTTTTCACTCAGATATTGAATAGGAAGAAACCTTCTCTCTACTTCTCTGGAAAATATACTATGATCCTATTCTCAGTTACATTAATAACAAACACAAATCAACATTTCTAAAAATAAAATCCAACTCTTCACTTGATCTTATCTTCTTAAATAAATCACAATCTATCACAATACTATCTCTAGCATTTATAGATAACACTGTTTGGCATTGTAAATCAAGAGAAAACCTTCAAGAAATTCTACAAGATGTCTCTGAACTTTACTAACTCAATAATATTCAAGTAAACCTACTCAAATCAGATTTTCTCTATATATCTAAAACTAAAATTCCTCAAACCAATACTACTTCTAACTATTTCTTACTCTTTAAAAATTAACAATTTCTACCTCATAAACTAGATAAAACTATAAGATACTTGGGTATCTTCTTGAATAGAAATAGTTCATCTAAACCTATAATCAATATTATCACTAACAAAATAAATTAATTCACTTATTTTATCAAATTCAAAAAACTCCTTCTCATATATATATCAAGATTATTTAATACTATCCTCTTATCAGTAATTGAATACTTTCTTCAAATCTGTTTCTTATTTTAAAAAAAAAATCAATTAACTATCAAGTACTCTAATCTAAAACACTAAACATATTTTTCATCTATCAACAAATACTAATAATAACATTCTTACTAATCCCTAACTCCTCAACATACCAATACTTAATAAACTACTCCTACTAACAAACAGTAGCAATATTAACAGATGCTTTAACTCAAATACTCTTCTAACTCAAATTACTCTTTCATGTATCAAAAAATAGCTAACTAAGATTTGGCAACCAACTCTGACAAAAAAAATCATTCTTTCAAATCAAAGAAAAACACTAAACTTTACAATTATTAACAACTAATTCTACTATACAAAAATAATATATTATTTAATAACTTCTCTTTTGATAATTTATAAAATACAAACCAAGTGTACCAACTCAACTCTATATACAACTTCTTCTCAAACTTCAACACTATGATAACTCTAAGTCTTAGAAATAACCAAATTCTATTCTTTAACAACTTCTTACTGCAGATAATCAATTCCTTCTTCCATAGAAAAACATATATTTCAGAACCTATAAATCTTTATGTGGCTCAACTTCTAAATAGTATAAACAATTAGTAAATTAAGCAACATCATTACCTATACTAGAAATCTGATCTAATATCAAACTAAATCCAATAAATCTCTTTCTAAATACTCTAAACCTAATCATCTTATAAAACTCAAACAAAAACTACTAGTCTTTTTATATTTCTTATAACAAACTTAAAATTGGCAAAATGATTAATTACTCAATAACCCAAACAATATTCAAAACTATTAACTTATTTACTCTAACTCAAACTCAATTTATATCTTACCTATACCTACTAAAATACAAATTAATTACAATTAAACAATTAATATAAAATGCAAAACACAAAAAAAAAAAATTAATTCAAACTCTCTATCAACTAACAAGAATTATAAGCTCTACAAAATATCTACTATACACTAACCAACTCTCCAACTTTTACTCTACTCGAATTAATCATCTCCTTATCTGATATCTCTCTAATTCAAAATACAATTACTAATCTAATATACCAAAACCAACTCATAAACCTTCATAACCAAATTCTTCTACTAAATTCAGAAACTCTTCACTTCTATACAGATGCATCAATCAAATATTCACAAACACCAAATATCAAAACTAGTATCGCATGGATACTTCAAAATAATACTCAAATAAAATTCAATACATTAATACCTCATGCACCAAATTCTACAAGAGCTGAATTATCAACAATTATCTACCTCTTCTTAACACTACTATCAAACTTCAAAATCCATCTACATTTGGATAATCTATCAGTAATCTATATACTAAAAAACAACTTACCCTACAACCACCTAACACAGACCAAAACAAACAACTGGGATATTATCCACATTTTAAATTACCTTATTCAAAAGAAAAATATTCAATTCACTACTCACAAAACTAAATCATATTCAAAAAATTCTTTTTATAATATCACTGACTCATTAGCCAAACAAGGTACTAACAAAATAGAAATTCAGCTTAATACTCAACTATTCTATCTACCTCTCTCCTTCATATAGAACCAAATTCTCCTACTACTTAAAATACGCAAATTCTGTACAAACATTCTCTCAATTCAAACCTTCAACAAGCTTATACAACTCAAAACATTTCGTAATCTACAACCCTTCAATATTCTTCAACTCACCAACATAATCAATTCACAAAATGACAACCACAAATTCTATTCTCTTAGAAACAAAATTATACTAAATAACCTACCAACAATGGCAAACTTAAACACTCGCTATTCTAACTTATATCTTATACCAAATTGTGTATTTCGCAACCAATATGAGGATACTAAACACATACTTTTCTGTATACTACATAAAACTAACTTAAACTAAATTCTACTTAACCAAATAACAATCACTATAAATACACTAAATTTAAATAACACACACCCTCAAACTATTCTACAAATAATTATTCATAATAACAACTCTCAAAATCTAACAAATACTCTTCTACTCCTTATTCAAGGCATTATCCAAACATCTCACTATGACCAAATCAACTCCATAAACAAAAAAACAACTAATATTTTCTTCATCAAACTCTCTAATTCATTACTTCTCTGGTTCAATGATAAAATCTGGAATAACAGAAACCAAATTCATCACGAATGGGAAACTGCTCATGGTATCTCCCAAAAAATTAAAAAAAGTATAAACCGAATACACCTCCCCCAATCTATACCTAACCAAACCACTACTATAACCTATAATACAAATATAGATACTTATATTCAAAAATATTTACTTCAAAATTTTTCTATATATAATTGTTTCTTCTAATTAATCTTCTTCTTTTCCTAGAGATCTCCCTTAACCTCCTCTATAGTCAATAGTAACTTTGTTTAAATCAGCTAGCAAATAGAAAATGAGAGTCTAATATCACACTAGATACCTAACTATTAAAATAGTCTTAGTAACAACAGTGCACATTAGGAATATACATTAGCTTCACATATATACCATCCTGATATATAAATGTACTAATTCTTTTCCTAACTGATATTATTAATTAATAAAAAAAAAAATAAAATAAAAATAACACAAAAAGCTGTGTAAAAGAAGAAAAAAGAAGATTAGTAGAAAAAAAAAAGTGAAATGTCCAAGTGGTATTCAAAATCAGCTAAAAATGATGACTCACCTAGACAAAATAGTTCTGAACAATGCTACGACAAGGGAATAAGTACAACCAAGAATAAAAAGGTAGCATTTAAACAGTACTTGAAAAATGCTGAAGATGGAATTGGAGTTGAAAAAGACGAACGAATTGGAGTCGAAAAAGATGAACGAATTGGAGTTGAAAAAGACGAACGAGTTGGAATTGAAAAAGACAAATGAACTGGAGTTGAAAAGGATGAACAAATTGGAACTGAAAAAGACAAACAAAATGGAGTTGGAAAAACTGAACACAAGATATCCAAAAATTCTCAGAAAACTGCAGACATGAAACATGTTAAAGAAACATGCAATATTGGCCATTGTTATGAAAAAGGAATTGGAATGGATAAACATAAGGTATTCATTTGTTATTAAAGATCTGCGGATATGGGTGATGCTAATAGAGCATATCAAGTTGGTTATAGTTATATAAATAGAATAGGAGTTGAAAAAAATGAACGCAAGGCGGTCGCTTATTATCAAAAAGCTATGAATATAGGTCATGCTTATGGAACATTAAGTATTAGTGCATGCTATGAAGGTAGACTAAAAACCAAGATAACTAAATGAAAGTTTTCGAATATTATCTGAAATCCGCTAGGTTGGATAATGATAATGAGAAAGAAATAATTAAAAATAAATATAATTTATCTTGGATTCCATATAATGAATTTAAAATTATCAAAAAGATCAGACAAGGAGAACTTGAAACTGTATTTCTTGCTAGATAGAAAAATCAAAGTAACACAAAGTTATCTGTTGCTCTTAAATTAATCCATAATTCAAATGATTATCAACAAGAATTTATGAGAGAGTTGAAGACATATTGCAATATTGGAAATGAAAATTTATCATTTTTAAAATACTACGGAATATCTCAAGAACCTAAAGACTATATACTTGTATTAGAATATGCAGAGATAAGTTCTTTAAATAAAATTACAGGTGTTATACCATATGTGGCTCCAGAAGTTTTATCAAGAAAAGAATTTATACAAGCATCTGAAATCTATAGATTTGAAATCATTATGCCGGAAATATTAACTGGACAAAGAATTTTTGATGGTAAACTATTTAATATTAGTCCTACGATAAATAATTTCCAAGATAAGAAAAAAAGGCAATTCATAGAAGCTAATAAGATCAAGCCAAATCCCAAGGAGGATAAACATTCAGCTCACATGTATACAAGCGAATCAATTAATTTCAAAAACCTCCACGAAGCTTGCAATAAATAGAATAAAAAAGTAAACAAGTTTAAAAAATGGTTGAACAAACAAGGAAAACAGCTAAACATCGTGAAACTTACTCAGAATCACATGACCAAGGACCAAAAGGAGACAAAAAAGAGGAAGTTACTAAAGTTACTGCGTGCAATTCTGAATTAAGACAAGTACTTCTGACAACCCTCAAAATAATAACCAGTATATTGAATAGTAGATCTAAAAGGAAGAAATGATGGTTAGAGATCAAAAAGGAAATTATTAATAAAACAAAAGAAATTACTCGATACTTACTAATATATCGATTGGTCTTAGCCTTCAAGGTATTCGACCCCAAAAGAGAATTATAGATATTGTGTCTATAATTAAACAAAGCCATTTATTAGCAATACAAAAAAAAAAAAAAAAAAAAACTGAGAAATAAAAGAAGGAGCTTGAAAGAAAAGAAGGAGGAGTTGAATAAGGAAGGGAGAGAATAGAAGAAGTGCGAAAAAAAAAACAAATGACACACACAGTGGATGAAATAATTAATGATCTATTAGAGATAAACCTACAGGAGGTCCTGACTATACCCCCACTCTATAATGAATAACAAACTCAGGACGAAAAGGTTGAAATAACCTATTAGCACATACTAAGAAACCAAAAGTTCAAGAACCAAATTGGAAGCTTGGTTTATGGTTTCTATTTGGGAAAACTATTGGATGAAGCAAACCTAAAACAGCAAACCAAATATCAAAAAAAAAAAAAAAAAATCACAAAATATCATTACACGGCTGCAATTCGAATCTATTAGTTATTTGAAGCATATAGGATTGAACAAGTATACCAAACACAAAAATTAGTTTTACTGAACCTTGTAACTACAAAGGCTAATAGTTTTTGAAGCTTAGTTCATGGAATGAACAAACTAAGAGAAGGAAAATGTAATGATTAGGAATTGATCATCTCATTAAGTGTTGTAACACTTTGTAAATCGTAACACTTTAAAAATCTCTATTCATAGGATAACTCGTGATGTTTGAATAACGTCCAACGTACAACACTCGAAAGAGGCGTATGTATTTAGGCGAGTAGATTATACTTTATTATATATATATTCGACCTAACTACCTTCTACTTCTCGACTAACTTACTAACTTACAATTTGTACCTACTTTTATAGCATTTACATATCTACTATATATGCTAATTATGCTAATTCTACTATATATGCTAGTTATGCTACTTATGCTAAGTATACGTACTATACTAAATCTACTGTATATGCCAATTATACTAAATCTGCTATATTTACTAAATATACTATGCGTT